GTAAATTCAATAATTTCTGTTATGAATACATATTTACATGCTCTGTTGTACCAATCAATAAATAAATAAAATATTCTCAACAATTAAGATTACATGTCTTGTTATGTTTGAGTAAAGCTAAAAATTTATAATAGTATTATCTTATTCTACTAACTGTTAGAAAAATTAATTAACACAATTAAAAAAAAAATCAACAGTACTGTGATTAATTTTCAGTGTTATTGATTATATTTCTTAATTTAATCTTTTCTTTTGGGCTAATAATATTCATTACACAAATCTAATAATTGACTGACTAGTATTAGTTAGTTAAAAGTCAAATCAATTAATTACACAATTGTAATTTAGAAAATTTTATCGAATTTAATTGTCCATAAATTTGTTGATTAAAAATCCAATTAATTTTGATGAATTGGTGAATTGTAGTTCAATTTTTACGAAGCCATTTTATGTTTGTTTTTTTTAAAAGGCTTAAACCAGGCTTAAACTAGATTTACTTATTCAAAGCTAGGAAGCATTGGACTTGCAGTTTTGTCAAGTATATACAACTTCTCAACAGTTAGGGTTGTGAATGCGGGATAAGTCAGTCAGTCAGTTACAACGTAGAACTTCGTACGTACGTACGTACGTCGGTTCACGTTGCCATACCACATCAGCACAGAGGCGCAACTGTCAGTTGAAATCTAAGAGTGATAGTGATAGTAGAAGTATTAGCAGTAATGAAGAAGATTAGGGAGCAAAGATATGATTCGAAAAGTATAATTCAGTGAGATAAATTTAGAAAGGGAAAGAGGTTATGAAGGATTCAGAAGGTTAGAATTAGAGAGAACACATAGAGTGGATGCACCTGCGCCATTGCAAACGATTCTGAGCCATGTCGTTCAAGGTCTCTAACCATTGGTGACTTTCGTCTCGCGGACCCTAACCAGATAGCCTACATCTACCAACATGACTTAGTCCACTTGTCAGTGACTTCATGGATTTGTGCCATGTTTTGGTTTGGTCGCCCCTAACTTTCTTCCAATTTACACCTACACCACAAAACAAAGCTCGTCGAGGCAGTCGGTGGTTAGTCATACGTAATACATGTCCCGACCACCTCAACTGATGAAGTTTCACCACTTAATCAATTGATCTGCCATCCTTACCTAGTACTCGTTTCCTAACGACAGCATTGCTTACTCGACTGTCCCCCGATATACGAGCAATGCTTCTTAAACATCTATGATCGAATACTAATAACCTACGAACATCTTCTACTCTTAACGGCCATGTTTCGCAGCCATATAAGAGAACGGAACGAACAATTTGGTCTCGTGTGCTGTTGTGGGAATGATTCAGTCATAAAGATAGCTAATCACTAATGATGTGAACATGATTATTATCGGTATAAGATGTTGTAGAGATTTTAGATTAGTGTTTTTTCCCACTTACTTACGCTTGTTACCCCTAATGGAGCATAGGCTGCCAACCAGCAAATTTTTTTCTGGTTAGCATTTTTTTTTAGCGAATTGGATTTCTATGGGATGGCTTGCTAACCCTATGCCCAACTCTCCTCCTTTATCCAAAGGCTTGGGACTGACAGTAACACTAACCCTAAAAGGGTTCCAGGCGATGGTATATCAGTTTTTTTTCTGTATGACTAAAATATTTTTTTCGCGATCAGTTTCAACTGATTCCAATTTACTGAAATAGAATTACTTTTTTTGATAATTAAATGTGTGTATGCATAAGTCTTTGGACGCAAACTGTGGAATTAATTGCAAGTGAAGCAACAATCAATATTATCAAGGAGGCTCAAAATCATCATTTCATTTTAAATTTGGTTAATTGATTGGTTTCTTAAATACCTAAAAGTTATTTTTTCACCACGAATTGTTGATGCTAAGAACAGTGTTTTATCCAATATAGATTAAAAGAAACCAGCTGGTGACTAATATTCAAATGAATTTCCTGAAATGTCAATAAGAGAACACGCATATCTACCGGCTACCGGAGAAGTCTTACTCACTTCCTTCTTGTGATGGAGGTGTTGTTAACTAAACTTGAGGGACAAAAAGTGAATCCCCGGCCCTTAAATCCGGATGGTGAGTATGGAGAATCCATCTAAGGGAATCGGGAAACTCTGATTCCAAACCATTGGTGAACATGCGCTTAAAGAATCTGATGGATAAAGTAGTGCATGATCCTACTGTTGATCACTGACCACCATGAGACTGCATCCCTTAATGTTGATCTGTTGCCTTATGGATTAGGCCTGTAGGTCAAAGACTCGGGGAATAGTTTTCTAAGAAAACTACCTTCTTCGATCTAAGCACCTATGGACTGTCCTAGTCCACACATAAATACATTGACTTGTGTAGCGCCTGAATACTTAGATGTCCCTTTGTACTAATAACTGTGTGTTTAAGTAATGGTAATAATAATAATAATATATTAGGACACTGTTATCCTTACCATGAAATGAGTCAGTTTTCACCTAATAACAATAAATGACGATTCCAATATCTGACTAGATGGTTTGAAGATATTGTCCTTGTAGAGAGATACCTGAAGTTATTACACTCAATGTTTTACTCATGCATCCTCACTACTGATAGTTTCCTAGTTAGAATGAAATGTACCGTTCAATACTATCTGGCTTTCTATGGTTTAGTATGCAATAGCTCAGGTGTAGCCATTCTTCTTGTAAATTCTAATCTTCTGAATTCCTCATCACCTTTACCTTTCTCTTTCTAAATTTATTTCACTGGATTTTAATTCGTGTTTAATATTCTCTATTACTGATATTACTACTACTGTAGTGAAGGAGAACATAGGTGGGGCAACCGAATTGTATTTAGCGAAAATTACAGAGTTACTCAATAGAATTGGAAAACCATATCGTAAATCGTTAATTTGCAAAATATCAGTCCATCATATCGAACTGGACTGTTCCTGTTGCCAAACAACATCAATCCATTGTCACTATTCATGCGTTTCATACAAATTCCATTGTGTTCTAACTCTTCCTTTCTTGATCTTCTTCCATGTTCTGCTGCCAGACATTACGTTGACACTCACGTCATATACTACTTATAAGTAGCTCGCACCACACTACTACCTATAGTACTATGGGATTTGAATTGACAATCCGATCTGTCTGTGTGCTAATGTAGTATGGCAACTTTAACTGATGTACATAAGTACAAAGTTCTACGTTGTGGCTGACTAACTGACTGGCCTAATGTGATATGCCAACTTGAACCAACGTATATTTATACACCAGACTGTACGTGTTGATCATTATTGACTGATTGGCTTATATACATACCATCATCATGTAGATTATTTTTTACAAAAAAAAGGGGATCAACTTATTCGTTTATTGCACAACTTATCTTAATTACTGTCTTGTTATTTTCTCTCTCTCTCTCTCCCATAGAATTATTCATGAAGGTGGATTTACACAAGAAGATAATAAACAGTATAAACCGGTTGTTTATAGTAATACTATTCAATCAATGGTTGCAATACTTAGAGCAATGAACACTCTTGGAATACAATTCGGTGATAGTGAACAAGGTGTAAGTTTTTTGAATTTAGTTTTTAATTCCAAACAGTATAAATGAAGAAGATTTTTCATTTGTATTTCTCATCAACTTCTATTTTAGGCAAGAACATTTGAATCTTGGTGGTTACGTCATCAATAGATGAGTGTAATATTGTTTATTCTTACTTACTTACTTACTCATTCACGCCTGTCACCCTCAATGGAGCATAGGCTGCCGACTAGTATTCTCCAACCTACTCTGTCCTGGGCTTCCCTTTCTAGTTCTGTCCAATTTTCGTTCATTCTTATCATGTGTCTCCATTTCTCGACGTAATGTGTTCCTCGGCCTTCCTCTTTTCCTTTGGCATTGGAGATTCCAAGTGAGAGCTTATCTTATGACGCAGTTGTGTGTGTGTGTGTTTCCCTCAATGTGTCTCCTATTCACTTACAGCTCTTCATCCTGATTTCCTCCTCCACTGGAATCTGGTTTGTTCTCTCCTACAATAGGTTGTTGCTGATAGATAGCGTCTGGCTGACATAGACAACTGTTAATATAATACTTGTATCTGTTGGATAATACAAGTTGTTGCTGTTGTTGTTTTGTGTACAACTCTTCTATCATATGCTTATTTCACTGTTACACAATGCTTCTCTTTGAAATTCACATTTAAATTATTTTCTCGAACTCTCAAGTTTATCATTAGCTAGCTAGTCTCTATCGATCTTCTTCATACAATGAAATCATATCATTTTCCTATCACATCAATAAAATAACAATCAGAACACAACAATGTTTGTAAGTACACAAAAAAAAGCATGCAGGGAAATGATGGGAATCAATACTTTTTCATCCTATCAGGTTTTAGATAGTTTAAGAATAGAATAGAATAGGAGAGATATAGATAGATAGATAGATAGATAGATAGAGAGAGGGAGAGTAAGAGAGGAAGAAAGAACTATGTTATTTTGTCCGTCTGTTTTAACTCTTTCACTCCTCCTCTATTCAAAAGTTTCTCCTAACTCAGAGGAGACCAATCTATTATTGAAAAACTTCTTATACTGGACATACGTTAAAGAGATGATAACATTGGTCTTTCATTCTTTCAGTATGATAAGAAAAAAAATTGCGTGGCCAGAATAAATTTTTAACTGACATAGAAGTGATGATATAACAGTAATAATAATAATTTCTTCCCTTTAATATTTCTTTCCTAAAATTCAAATAGCCGTTTTTCTCTCACATGTGTTATGTATTGAACATACATACATACATACACACACATTCATAATGTAACTAGTAGCAATTAAATATAGAGATATCAAACTCAGCTTCTCAAATGACAAAATCACTGGTCCATTTGAGAATAATGTAAATTTCCAGTACATCTCTTATAGTAAGTATATTAGTGCTTGAGTGTGTGTGTGTCTGTGTGTGTACAAATCCCGAACTAGAATGATATTGAGTATATCTTTGATGAGGTCATGACCTTGACCTACAGCGATTTACCTTACTACTACTACTAATAATAATAAATTAGTTACTCTACAGTATTATCAAAATTAACATTTTTTCATTCATTCTTTAAGTGAATATGAAGATTGTTACTTTCTTCATATACACACATACATACATACAGATATCAACAGCAAATTCTATTTTTTTCTTTGTTTTAAAAAAAATTCATTAAATTTCGGTAATTTTCCTTGAAAAATAATTAAATAAAATTTTAAGGTAGACTAATTATCAGATAGAAAGAGTATAATAGTTATATATGTTTGTGTCTTATTCAGATTAGATGAAATGGAGCAAGGGGGGAGGGGGGAGGTCAATGCAATGAAAGTTATTGAACTGATTGATATTGATGGTACTAAAAATAATAATAATAATATTGTAAATAGTAGTGAGAAACTAAATTCAGCATAAACTGCATCATGTCAATTTATTTCAACGGGTTTCGATTATCTGGTTGTTGATAGTTTTGTCTGAAATTCGATCCATCTCAATTGGCATATGAACATCTCCTATGTAGTCTCGCTAAAGTGGAATCGAGGACGTGCGTTCTATTCTGTTTGAGACTTTTCAGTTAGATGTATTTTCATTGCAGAGTTGATGTACACACCGGGACTCGAACCCAGTACCGTGAGCTTCAAACGCTATCATTTTCAGTTAATTAGTCAGTTAGTTATAACGTAGAACTTCGTACATGAGTACATAAGTTCAGGTTGTCATACTACATTAGCAAAGAGATGTGATTTTCAATTCAAATTCCACAGTAATAAAGAAAGTAGATATATTAGCAGTAATCGGAAAAATTAGGGTTCGAAGATATATTACTCAAGAAGTAGTATAGTTCAGTGAGATAACTTTAGAAAGAGAAAGAAAAATATGATGAAGAATTCAGGAGCTTAAAATTTGAGAGAACACAAAGAATGAATGCACTTGCACCATTGCAAACGATTTTGAGCTATGTCGTTCAAGGTCTCTAACCATCGCTTACTGATGCGACTGATGGGTTACTGATAAGACATCAGATGAGTGAAGCAGTCGACAGATGTAGATGCAACCCAATCTTTATCTACTTAGTTTTTTAGTTCAGATTAACCATTTAATCGTATTCCAGTTAAAATATCAACAATCGCATAATCTAAACTATATATAAGTGAATTAAATCTTACATTTGTAATACAAATGAGTGGCTATCATCTGGATTCAGTAGCCACGTGAATTTCACTGCTAGTCATACATTCTCTCTTCGGCATATTATGTTAACGAATAGAATTAATGAAGTGTATTTGAGATGTAGAAGAAGAAAAAGAATGAATAATATCTCTACGTTATAAATTGGAATATTTCTTTGTCGTATTCATTGGGCGTATACTACAATGAAAATGAACTTATGGGTTCATTTGTTATAACATAATTACTCTTCATTGACACCATTATTGAACCACCATTATAAATCTGGAAGCACTGGATGACCATTTCGTCTTAGTATGGGGCTCATCAGCAGTACACATCCGTAACTCCCGTCACTCGCAGGATTCCAACCCTTCGGCCTTCGGCCTTGGACGTGAATGCTTAATTTCTAGACCACTGTTAAATGTCTAACTCTGATCAACCCCTGGTTATTGCACATCCTCATCAACAATTGTCTTTGGTAGTTACTGCCTACACCAAACAGGGTTAAATTAAATTAACAAATTGGAATCATAAATGAATCATTATTGTTAGACCACCAAATTATATATTAATTGGAAATTTCTAATTACTTTATACCTTGAAAGAAATCAATTTCTAATATTGACATTCTTTTCGTAAATTTTTTAAAAGTTCCAGAATTCACACACCTCTAATTATCACTTACAGAATTGTGATTGAGTTCATTGTGGTTAAGTTGTTGTCAGTTTCATTTAGAGAGAAATGAATCAATTTTTTTTTTTTTAAAAAAAATCCAACTTTACATGTTTACATAATTTTTTCATTGTCGTTAAACTATCATTTTTTTTTTATACAGGCTGAAGATGCTCGTATTGTTTGTGATGTGATACAAGCTATGGAAGATACAAAACCATTTTCTGAAGATCTACTCGATGCAATGAAACGATTATGGGCTGATTCTGGTGTACAAGAATGTTTTGCACGATCAAATGAATATCAATTGAATGATTCAGCAAAATAGTAAGTGATTTTGTGTGTGTGTGTGTGTGTGTGAATATCTTGTTTTATAGGCAATCTCTTTTGTATTTGTGTGTATACATACAACAAGTGGTCATGTTGCGCATATACGTACACAAGTCATTTTGATAAGCTTGAACTATTACGAGTTTATCTTAGTCGGAAAACGAGAACGAGGATTGAGGATCCGGCGACACGATATGCTACTCTAATCCGAATGTCCCAACAACCCATTGAATAAAAGAAGAAGACTTGATACGAAGTAGGACCTGTATTCTACAAGCATCCAAAAAGTACGAGGTCCGAGTCCAGAAGAAGACACAGATCCTGGACTAAGAATCCGGGTTATAAAACGTTACAGATAATGCAGACACACATTTAGACGTCCGACAATAGTCGTGTTCCTGGACCTAAAAGCGGCATTTGACTCAGTGGATCGTGAGGTTCTGTGGCAGTCTCTGTCATTAAAAGGTGTACCAAAGAAGTACATTAACCTTATACAAGCCCTTTACTCGAACACCACTGGTCGAGTGAGAGCATATGGTGAACTGTCATCTGAATTCTCTACATCTAGTGGTGTCCGTCAGGGATGTCCACTCTCTCTATTCTTGTTTAACTTTGTCGTAGACATTCTCTTAGAGTTAACATTAAGCTCGTCAGATTTTTCAGGGGTTGACCTTCTACCAGGAAAGTCGCTTACTGATCTAGAATATGCCGATGACATAGTTCTATTCGGTGAAGACGCTGACAAAATGCAGAGTCTTCTGATTACCATAAGCAACAATGCAAGCATGTTCGGGATGCGGTTTTCCCCCTCGAAATGCAAAATGTTGCTTCAAGACTGGGTTGCATTGGCACCTGAACTAGTGATAGGGAGTGAAGTAGTCGAGCGTGTTGATCACTTCACTTATCTTGGGAGTCTCATCAGTGCTGATGGCCTGGTGACTGACAAAATCATTCTTCTTAGGATATTTGGTGAATATTCTAACAGGTCCATTGTACAATACACGAGTTAATAGTTCTCTAAAATATTTTGACTCCTATATCATATAAATTTTTTTTTAACGTTTAGTTCTGTCTTTTTACGATTCTTTTGGTTATTTCAAGGGAAATAACATCTATTGTGTACACACACAAAAAAGAGTGTCCTTACTAATTTCAATACCTTTGTGTATAGACATTGTCAAGAGAGTCACTTGCAACTATTTAACGTTTGATTAATGATTGTTGCTTTCAAAAATAATGAGATACACTTTTAAGTCGGGATAAGATAAAATTGATCAGGGTTAATGTTCAGACACACCAGATGTGAATAAAACGTGACAGATATCCTCGAAACTTATGAGTATAGCAGTAATCAATGTGAAAACAGTGTGTCAGATGGTGACATGTGTATTTAATGTCATGTAATCGAATGCATTATGCAAGAGATATATACAAGGAAATTTTTAATGCTGACATGAACACCATTTCCATAATGGAGTTGTGGAGATTGTTGAGTTGCATTGAAGTCATGAATCAGTCAATATTAGACCACCGTTAATAACCTGAAAGAACTGGACAGTCTTTTTATTCTAGTATAGGACTCATCAGCAGTACGCTTCCTTGACGCATGCAAGCATTGAACCCCATGACCTTTGTTCTGGTGCGCGAACGCCCAACCTCTTAACCATTAAGTCAACATCCAATGGTACGCAAGACTGAAGGTCCTGGGATTAATTCTTGCTTGCGCGGGGGTCGTGGATGCACACTACTGATGTGTCCTATTCTGTGTCGTCCAGCTCCTGTAGGTTTTCAACGATGGTCTAATATTGATCGATTCATGATATCGATAAACATCATTCTCTGATCAATAGCAATTATCGTTCAACTTGAATGCATTTAGGCTTAAGTTAACCATCTCTACATAGCTTTCCTTTGTAAATTATCCGGAAGAGACATTGATGCGAAAATAAGTGAAAAAATAGTGTCCTATATGTGTGTATTGGCTATGGGAAATCATAACAAATTATTTTTGTCCATAATTAAAATCTAGTTTTTAAATTTTAACTTTAATCTCTCAAAAAATAAAACTTGTAAAATTCAAAGTGGAAATTTTTTTCCGGTGGCTAATATTTCCCATTATTATGGGATTGTTTTATTGTAGATGATAGTTCTTCCAATGAGATATTGAATTTTTTAGGGTGTATAAAGCTTATTAAGGCTTTAATCTAAAAAAAAAATTATTATCTCATTGTAATCAACTGTGAGGATATTCATCAAATATCCTGAAGAAATTATTTTGTGAGTCTAATTCTATTGGTCAATATTTAAGGTCGTCCTAAACTATCAAGTTCACATACTTATAATGTTATTTCCTATTGGTTAGTGTTCAAGGTCGACCTATCTGTATAAATATGCATTGTCTATTAAGTTTTATGCTCCTCTTCCTCTTCTGTAGGAGACCTTGTATTTTCTGAGTGCTTTTAGAATACACTTTTTACGCCATTTCAAGACTTCTTCCTCTACTTGCTGGGGCCTTGAGACGCTTGGATTAAAGTAGCCTATCGTGTCAATGGATCATTTGTTTTAGTTCTCGTTTACCGACTAAGGTGAACTCGTAATAGTTTCAAGCATATCAACTGACGAGTCATAACATGAACATGCTAATTAACTTAACTGAATATAATTTAAATAAGATTGTTTACTGCGATACTTTTAGCCTTCATTAGTTGTAATAATTATATATATATATATATATATATATATATATATATATATATATATATATAAATATGTAGAGTGAGAGAGAGAGAGAGTTGAAGTCTAAAAAGTGATTAGAAATTCTAAGTCAATATTGTGTGACAGGATTCTAATGAAGACGGGATTCTCTACATCAAGTGGTGTCCGTCAGGGATGTCCACTCTCTCCATTCTTGTTTAATTTTATCATTGACATGCTCCTAGAAATAACCTTATCCTCGTCTGAATTTTCAGGAGTAGACCTTTTACCAGGTGGCTCGCTTATTGACTTAGAATATGCCGATGACATAGTCCTACTTGGTGAAGATGCTGACAAAATGCAGCGTCTTCTGACTACCCTAAGCAACAATGCAAGCATGTTCGGGATGCGGTTTTCCCCCTCGAAATGCAAAATGTTGCTTCAAGACTGGGTTGCATCGGCACCTGAACTTGTGATAGGGAGTGAAGTGGTCGAACGTGTCGACCGCTTCACTTATCTTGGGAGTCTCATCAGTGCTGATGGCCTGGTGACTGACGAAATCTCAGCTCGGATACCGAAAGCTCGATTGGCTTTTGCCAACCTGCGTCACTTATGGCGTAGGCGAGATATCCGTTTGCTGACTAAAGGACGAGTGTACTGCGCAGTGGTTCGCTCCGTCTTAATTCATGGCTGTGAAACATGGCCCATGAGAGTAGAAGATATTCGTAGGTTACTGGTTTTCGATCATAGGTGTCTTCGAAGCATTGCTCGTATATCGTGGGAAAACCGAATGAGCAACGCTGTTATTAGGAAACGGGTGCTAGGTAAGGATGGCAGGTCAATAGATGAAGTAGTGAAACTTCATCAGTTGAGGTGGTTGGGAGATGTGTTGCGTATGCCCAATCACCGACTGCCTCGACGAACTTTGTTTTGTGGTGTAGGAGTAGGTTGGAAGAAAGCTAGGGGCGGCCAGACCAAAACATAGCAGAAATCCATGAAGTCATTGACTAGTGGACTGAGTCATGTCGGTAATTGTCGACTACCTGGTTGCGGTCCGCCAGATGATAATAATCGATGGTTAGAGACCTTGAATGACATGGCTCAAAATCGTTCGAAATGGCGCCGGTGCATTTATTCTTTGTGTTCTCTCAAATCCTAATCTTCTGGATTCTTCAACACCTCTAGTTTTGTCTTTCTAAACTTATCTCATTGAATCATACTTCTTGAATAGTATCTTCTAACCCTAACCTCTCCGATTACTTCTAATTCCCTTACTACCTCTTCTACTATTGGATTTGAATTGACAATTATATCTCTGTTCTGATGTGGTATGGCATTATGAACTGATGTACTTACGTACAAAGTTCTACGTTGCATCTGACTGACTGACTGACTGACTGACTGACAGGATTCTAATTGATCTGCATCACTTATTGTTACGTTGTTGTATCTGATCGTTTTTGTAAAACTATATACATCACAATATCTTTTAATTCACCTTTGTCTTAAAACAATATTCATGAACAAATTAAGGGTTGAAATGCTTTGATTGTTTCATGTCAGTTGTATTAGCATGGAGTATATGGTGTTTTCCATACGGAGAATTCACTCATGTATTCATTCGATCGTAAGTGTTTTCGAAACTGCTCGTGTATTCTGAGACTGCCACTGAGTAAGCTATTCTGATGTTAAAAAAACGACACTAGGTGAGGATGGCAAATCAGTTGATGAAGTAGTGCGCCTTCATCAATTGAGGTGGTTGGGACATGTGTTGTGTATGTCTTACTACTGAATAATACCTCGATGGCGATGTTTAGTGATGTAGGAATTAGGCTAGAAGAAAGCTAGGGGCAGCCAAACGTAAACATGACACAAATCCATGAGGCCGTTAGCAACTGGACTGAACTGTGTTAGTTAGGTGTAGACTACCAGGTCGGGGTCGGCGAAACAATAAGTAATCAATGGTTAACGAATTAAAATGACATAGATCAAAATCGTTTGCAATGGCACAAGTGCACCCATTCTTTGTGCTTTCTGAAATTCTAATTTTTTTAATTCCTTATGACGTTTTTTCGTTTTTTTTTTTAAATTTACTTAACTCTAGGATACACTTATCGAATGATAACTTTGGTTTCTAATATTTTCCATTACTGCTAATACTACTTATTACGTTCTCTACTGCTATGGGATTTTGAACTGACATTTCCATCCGTCTTTGCTAATTTGGTATGGCAACTGGAACTGATGTACGTACGTTGTACGCTGTACGCTGTAGGTGACTTACTGACTAAGCATAGAGTATATGGTGTTTTCCAATCAAATATTCATTTATGTCACAAGTTTAGTATTTTTGCAGAGGTGGATGCTACGTTAACAGTGGAATCCAAGACGCGTATCTATCTTCTTTATTAGGACTCTTCAGCTGAAAATATACTTGCATTTCAGAATCAATATTCACTCCGGAACTCGAACCCAGCATCGTTCATTACAAATGCTATTGTATTATCTACTTGGCTATTAACTTTTAAATAGCCACTAGGTCAAGATTTAAACAACCAATACAAATTGCTGATGATTTTTTATTGTAAAATCATTTCACTTATTAAACATGTCACCCTTCCTCCCTCATGATTTCACATAATTTTATCGAATTCATTCAATACGTTCATATTCTATTAGTTGAGACTAAGCTTAACTGTATCACTCTTAGTATATATTTGCCTGATCATTTGAATCAACCGCAATTTATTTCGTTTAAATTTACGACGGGTATGTTCAATATTTGATAATGTATGATTCTCTTTTCGTGCATTGTTGAAAATTCTCTACTGTATGTTCTTTTTTCTTTCTCTTAGTTTCCTTGATGATTTAGATCGTTTAGGCGCTAAAGATTATATGCCAACTGAACAAGATATTCTTAGAACTCGAGTTAAAACAACTGGTATTGTGGAAGTACATTTTCAATTTAAAAATATGAATTTCAAGTATGTATAGTTGATGATATGTATTATTATTTTATTTTATTTTTTTTATTTAAAAAAAATATTAGTTTTAATGAATTTTATTCAAATTTCAATTTTTGTTAATCTTTTTTTTAATTAATGTAATGTAGTTTTTTTGAATTTAATCAGTCATTTAGTTGTAACGTAGAACTTCGTACGTATGTACGTACATAAGTTCATGTTTCCATAACACATTAGCACAGAGACGCAAATGTCAAATTAAATCCCATAGTGATAAAGATAGTAAAGGTATTAATGGTAATGAAGAAGACTAGGGTTTGAAGATATTATTCAAGAAGTATAATTCAGTGAGATAAGGTTCAGGAAGACAAAGGTAGAGGTGCTGACGATTCCAGAAGATTAGGATTTGAGAGAGCTCAAAGAATGGATGAACTTGCGACATTGCAAACGATTTTTAGCCATGTCGTTCAAGGTCTCTAACCGTTGGCGAGTTTCGTCTCGCGGACCCCAACCATGTAGTCTACATCTACCAACATGACTCAGTCCACTTGTCAGTGACTTCATAGATTTGTGCCATGTTTTGGTCTGGCCGCCCCTAGCTTTCTTCCAACCTACTCCTACACCACAAAACATAGCTGGTCGAGGCAGTCGGTGGTTAGCCATTCGTAACACATGTCCCAACCACCTCAACTGATGAAGTTTCACCACTTCATCTATTGATCTGCCATCCTTACCTAGAAATCGTTTCCTAACGACAGCATTGCTTACTCGGTTGTCCCATGTTATACGAGCAATGCTTCTTAAACATCTATGATCGAATACTAGTAACCTACGAACATCTTCTACTCTTAACGGCCATGTTTCGCATCCATATAAGAGAACGGAGCGAACTGCTGCACAATACACCCGTCCTTTGGTTAGCGAACGGATATCTCGCCTACGCCATAAGTGACGCAGGTTGGCAAAAGCCAATCGAGCTTTCTGTATCCGTGCTGAGATTTCGTTAGTCACCAGGCTGTCAGCGCTAATTTTTTTTGGATTAACCTATCAAGTTATTCAAAGTAAACAGTAATATGAATAAGAATATTTTTCGTAGTGACTTCTTTAATTTTCAATAAATTATATTTTTAAATTATTAGGGTTGTGAAGATTGTTCATTTTTTTTAATAATTGATTGAAGTTAGACATTAACACCTTTTGATACTAGCTAGACCCAGTGGTTTAGAGGTGGTTGAACGTTCGCACGCGAAATCGAACGTCTTTAGGTTCGATTTCTACGTTCACGGGTCGTGGATATGCACTGCTGATGAGTGCCATACTAGGACGAAATGGCCATCCAGTGCTTACAGGTTTCTAATAGTAGTCGTACATTGGTCGATTTTCATGATTTAAAAGAAATTATATTTTGATACATCCTATTGATAGCTTTCCTTGAAATTGTATAGATGAAAAAAGCTCTATTCACAGTTCTATTACTTTTAGTCTAATTTTAAACAAATTTTTTCTTTAGCTCAAATCTATTGTCTATGTTAGAGAATCAGTCATCTTCTCAGCGTAGAACGTTTTTGTGTTCAAGTCTCCTTGCTTGAATGTTTATCTGAATATATCATGACTACTACATTGTAGTTTTCAATTTTGTTAAAGTCTTTTTTTAAGTAGTTGCTCATTAGACATTATCAATATTCAAGCATTCATTTTTATGTATTGTTTGAAAATAAGCTCCACATGGTTATGTCTTGTTATGTATTGTTACTGAGGGCCATTTCACTTCACTATACATCTTTCTTCTTTGTCTATCATACCATTATGAAGTGTAACAAATGGAACATATACAATTTGATACATTGTTCTGTTTTATTGTTTCTTGAGATGTTAATTAATCTCTTCTGAATAAGTAAACAAGAGTTACCAGAGTGTAAAGTGTTCTGTCGTCCTTAGAAGAATACATCAACCTATTGTGGAATATTTGTGCATAACTAAATTGCCTACTTATAAGTAGTCCAAGTATTTTTGTTTCATTTCTAGTTTAGTTTTTTCGTTATATCAATCTACTTGGTTAGAATGACTATGTCAAAATTAAAAACGGATATACCTGTTACTTACTGAACTAAGACAGTGATTTGAACAAGTCGTGCCCAATCTAATATAGTGTATTTTAGTTTCCTCATAGCTTATAATTTATATGGAAGAATACTCTTACACACTTGAAATCATCAATCAATCATTGTTAGACTACCACCATTAGAAACCTGTGGAAGCACTGGACGGCTGTTTCAGCCTGGTATGGGACTTATCAACAGTCCTCATCCACAACTCTTAACCAATGTATTTTGTGTTTATGTGTTATTATTGCTTGTTTATTTTTTATGTTTAATAAAATTTAGACTTTTCGATGTGGGTGGCCAACGATCTGAACGTAAAAAATGGATTCATTGTTTTGAAGATGTGACAGCAATTATTTTTTGTGTAGCTATGAGTGAATACGATCAAGTGTTACATGAAGATGAGACAACGGTATGTTTATTACAATTAGAAATTCATATTGAGTAAATATTTTCTAAATTTCCAATCATTTTTTTTTAAAAGATTTTACTTCTGTGTATGATTTTTTGTAGAACTCTTCAAAATCTCAGCCATTATTTTTAGGAGATTGATAGTTTTCATTGAAAATCGATATCTATTGACCTGGAAATCGGAGCTTTCATTCAAATCATGAACTGATCAATGTTAGACCATCATTGGAAACATGGACCTTACTTCGTTTGAAATCGAAGATTGTGGTTTCGATTTCCGCTTTCGTGGTGGTGGATGCGTACTGCTGATAAAATGACCATCCAGGGATTCCAGGTTTCTAATGATGGTCTAATATTGATCAATTCTTGATTTCAATGAAACTCAACAACCTCCACAACCTTATCCTGACAGGTTTTTCTTTGTGTTCTGTCATGGGACTGTTTTTGCTCAATATTCAATTATCATTTTTTCTAAGCCTTATTAAGAAGTATAAAAACAAATTTCTTAAGTTACTGAAATGAAAATCAGTAGTTGTTCTAATGTTGAGAGAAAAATACACAAAAAGGAACTGTCATTTATCATCACAATTCTTCTTCTTTTTTTATTGTAAATGAACTTTATTTTATTCAACTCGTTATTTAAGTATAGGCTTTTGTTTGTAGTTGGGGTAGAAGCTTATTGACTTAGAATATGCCGATGACATAGTCCTACTTGGTGAAAACGCTGACAAAATGCAGAGTCTTCTGACTACCCTAAGCAACAATGCAAGCATGTTCGGGATGCGGTTTCCCCCCTCGAAATGCAAAATGTTGCTTCAAGATTGGGTTGCATCGGCACCTGAACTAGTGATAGGGAGTGAAGTGGTCGAACATGTAGACCGCTTCACTTATCTTGGGAGTCTCATCAGTGCCGATGGCCTGGTGACTGACGAAATCTCAGCGTGGATACAGAAGGCTCGATTGGCTTTTGCCAACCTGCGTCACTTATGGCGTAGGCGTGATATCCGTTCTCTAACCAAAGGACGAGTGTACTGTGCAGTAGTTCGCTCCGTTCTCCTATATGGCTGTGAAACATGGCCAGTGAGAGTAGAAGATATTCGTAGGTTACTGGTTTTCGATCATAGGTGTCTTCGAAGCATTGCTCGTATACCGTCGGACACCCGAGTGAGCAATGCAGTCGTTAGGAAACGATTTCTAGGTAAGAATGGCAGATCAATAGATGAAGTGGTGACACTTCATCAGTTGAGGTGGTTGGGACATGTGTTGCGTATGCCCAACCACCGACTGCCTCGACGAACTTTGTTTTGTAGTGTAGGAGTAGGTTGGAAGAAAGTTAGGGGCGACCAGACCAAAACATGGCAGAAATCCATGAAGTCATTGACGAGTGGACTTAGCCATGTCGGTAATTGTCGACTACCTGGTTGGGGTCCGCGAGATGATAATAATCGATGGTTAGAGACCTTGAATGACATGACTCAAAATCGTTCGCAATGGCGCAGGTGCATTTATTCATTGTGTTCTCTGAAATCCTAATCTTCTGGTTTCTTCAACACCTCTAGTTTTGTCTTTCTAAACTTTTCTCACTGAATCATACTTCTTGAATAATATCTTCTAATCCTAACCTCTTCGATTACTTCCAATACCTTTGCGACCTCTTTTACTATTGGATTTGAATTGACGATTACTTCTCTGAGCTGATGTGGTATGGCAACATGAACTGATGTACTTACGTACGAAGTTCTACGTTGCATCTGACTGGGGTAGAAGCCATATTTATTGATACGATACGATACTAATCACACCTAAATTAGGATATCACAGTGTTTGAAATTTATTGCTTAGTAATTGAAAAGCAAATGAATGCTTTTTTTTCTCAAAGTGATTGTGTATAAAATAATATAAAATTGTAGCTGTGATTTTTATCGATTTGAATTAAAGTATATTTTTGAAATCAATCAATGTGTTACGTATGTTATAAATCACAGGCTGTCTGATGTAAGAGTAAACTGAAAGAAAGTCATGAGCAGCGGTCTAATGAGGAAGGTGTGATATTGTTCTATAAGGTTGTTGGCGATGTTAGTTCTTCAGAACTCGCTTGATAAATTCCTTAATGTGGAGTTACGTTTGCGAGCATGAGCCAGCTGATCGGTTGACCTTGAGATTTCATTTCCCACCAGGAAAATCCATGGCTGTGATTGGCTGCTGTGTATTTTAGTAACTGTCCCAAGGACGTTTCTAGGATGTATAAATGAACGAGAGTTGTGTGCTTGATTGTATTGTGATTGCCGAGTGTTTGTAGAATATACTTTCTACGCTTACAAAGTGTTCTATCTTCAGCTTAGGATTCAAGGTAGCCTACCTGGAAGCTGGTAATTGTCTCGTTCGCGTTTATCGACTAAGGTAAACTCGTAATTGTTTCAAGCGTACCTTGTGACGAACATAACAAAGGTAATTGACTATTGGTCTGATCTATATTGATATATATATATATACAGACTACATAGTTGAAGCTGACGTGGTGATCACAATCGGTGGTTGGAGAAATAGGGTAATATGGCTTAAGAGTCCTTTTTCAATTACACAGACGCTAAATATCTATCTGCCTTTAGACATTCAGTCTCAATTTTCCTTCCTTGCTACATACGTTTTTGATGCTGAACAATATTCTTAATGTTCATTCTTTCTCATTTTCATCATATTCATACAACGCTTATTTCAATTCGTTTTTTTTCCGTTTCGTCCAGCTTGGTCAAACATTCCATGCCAAGTTGTTTCTTATTGATTGTAATTGATGAATTGAACTATAATAATTAGTTGTTAGTGGGAGTTTCATTCTCTTAGTCGAATAGTTTAATCTCTGAAACTTTCATTGTTCTTCTTCTTCTTCTGCTGAACATAACATCATCAGCACAAACTTGAAAAAAGAGAACTGAAGTATTAACAATTCTGCATATATAACTCACCGATTTACTTTTCCACTATTTGTGTACTATGAAATTCTAACCTTCTGAATTCCTCACAGTCTCTATCTTTCTTTCTCCTTCTAAATTTATCTCACTGAATTATACTTTTCGAATTATATCTTTACTCCTTAATCTTCTCCATTACTGCTAATACTTCTACTATCACTATCACTCTTGGATTTGAATTGACAGTTACGTTTCTGTGCTGATATGTGGTATGGCAACTGGAACTGATGTACATAATTACGTACGAAGTTCTACGTTGTATCTGGTCTGGTCTGGTCTGATTTACTTTTCGACATTGATATTAATTGATTAATTATTGCCCTTTATCATTTTTATCTGTGGTCTTAATAATTGTTAATAATTTCCGCAAATCTTTAATAAATTGGTTCGATTTCAATCTGTTTGTTGATTAGTCTGAGTGTCAAACTACCAAAAAATTCCCCAGTGTCCTTAGTACTTTCTTTTTTTTCTCTGTCAATGATTGCATCCATTTTTTTCCAGTTCACAAAGTTCAAGTGAATTATTTTCAGTAATACAGAAAATTGTACAAATTATTTTTTCACTATACCTGAGAAGACTGAGGCAGGCGAGGAAGATTGTATTATGCAAATTTGCACTCTGAGTCAATTAAAAACTAAAACATTACATTGAACACTCTGTTTGCACACCATCTTTGAGTCGTGACTTCCAACGCTCCATCCTTCTTCCTTTCCTTCCTGTTGGTACACCATTTACTTCTTGCTTTTGCTCCATTTGCTTTCCGTTTTCCTCTTCTGACCGTGAGACTTCTTCTTTCACGTACCTTCTTATACTACTTATATCGTTCGTATAAGTAGCACACACCACATCCCTATATATATATATATGTGTGTATTTTTTCTGTTTTCTCATTTACAGAATCGTATGCAAGAATCCTTGAAATTATTCGATTCAATATGTAATAATAAATGGTTTACTGATACAAGTATTATATTATTTTTAAATAAAAAAGATTTATTCGAAGAGAAAATTAAACGTTCACCATTGACTATTTGTTTTCCAGAATATCCAGGTATGTATGTATGTATGTATTATTGTTTTTGTGATTTGTTGTTGTTAGTAGAAATAAGCTTCTACTACTTCTGTTGTGCTTTTTTCTTTTCTCTCTAATCGATTTGTATAGTCCAATTGAAGCATATTCACTGTTCAAACATATAAGCAGTTGATTTTAATCATCATGAACATAGGCGAGCTATCCGTTTGTTAACCAACGGTTGAGTCTGCTGCACAGTAGTTAGCTTGGTCCTACTATATGGATACGAAACATGGCCATGGTCAGAGTAGAAGATATTCGTAGGTTACTGGGTTTCGATCATAGATGTCTTCGAAGCGTTGCCCGTGTATCTTGGGACAACCGAGTGAGCAATGCTATAGTTAGGAAACCAGTACTAGGTAGGGATAGCAAATCAATAGATGAAGAATTGAAACTTTATCACTTCAGTTGATTGGGATATGTGTTACGAATGCCCAACCGCCGTCTACTTCGACGAGCTATGTTTTGTAGTGTAGGAGTAGGTTGGAAGAATGTTAGGGGTGGCCAAACCAAAAAATGTCACAAATCCATGAAGTCATTGACGAGTGGGCTGAGTCATCTTCGTGGCTGTCGACTACCTGGTTGGGTTCCGCGAGATGATAATAATCGATGGTTAGAGACCCTGAATGACATGGCTCAAAACCGTTTGCAATTGCGCAGATGATTTCATTCTTTGTGTTCTCTGAAATCCTAAACTTTCTAATTCTTCATCACTTTATCTTTATCATTTTAAGTCTATTTCACTAGATTCTACTTCTTGAATAATATCTTTTAATCCTAACCTCTCCGATTACTTCTAATACCTTTACTACCTCTACTACTATTGGATTTCAGTTGACAATTATATCACTGTGTTGATGTGGTCTGGCAATATGAACTGATGTACTTACGTACGAAGTTCTATGTCGCTATTGATTGATTGATTAAAAGTTTTCGGGTTCACGAACCTGATAACTTCCCCACGTAATCAATATTCGAATTTTTATATCTAATTTATTGGAAAAAATAGAATCAACTGTGATCAAGTAACGAAATGGTGTACTATTATTTGTAAACAGAAAAATATTCAACCGAAATATTGTATCGTTTTGACTGTACTTGTCAGTTAACATGATATTTTTGTATAATCAAGAATGCCAAAGTCACTTGAAATAGGTGATAATAATTTGATTATATTTTAGGCAGAGTTAGTTGTTGGTCAGTGCTTTTCGTTTTATTTTAGGACTCATCAGCTTTGTATACTTGTATTCTAGATTTGATGTTCACTTCAAGATTAGAACTTATTACTGACTGCATTTTTAACACCAACGCTTTATCCACGTAGCTGTTGAGTTTAGATAATCACTAGCTTGTTCAATATCGATGCACATTTGTCCGAAAAGATTGATCAGTTCATATTCTTAACACGGAAATGAGTTTAAATCAAGAGTCATGTACAAGAGATGTGTTTATAGAAGTCGTACACATTCTATTCATTAGGTAGTAGGTCTCAACAGGGGGTTGCTTGTCGTTGTGGCCTTGAGTCATCTTTGAGATATTCATTCGCGTTACCTCAATGAAATCCTTGACCCTGCCTAAAAATGGCTGTTTTCAATAAATTATCTGTATAAACGGCCCTGAACATTTCATGATTTTCTCGGAAGCTTTTACTGAATTTTGTCAAAAAACTGAAGATAAGTTCGCAGATTTATTGAACAGTGGATATGGTATTCTATGAGTCATATCTATTATATAACAGTTAAAACTCTCGTCATTCTCACGTATTCAGCTTGAATATGTAAGATAAGATTCAAAAAAATCTGTCTATCTGAAAGCCAAGTTATTCATGCCTCATGAGTTATTTCATTTTTATTTGAACACATAAACGTTGGTACAAAGGAGCACATAAGTTATAGAATTTGTGTGAGTGGGCTGGGATACTACTGCTTAGCTGCCTAAACCAAAGCAGGTGATTTTCTTAAAGAACCATTCCCTAAGCCTTTAACCTACCAGATCTAATCCATAAGGTAGTGAGTGGAACAACGTTAGGTGATGCAGTACTATGGTTTCCAGTGACCGACAACAGGTTCATATTCCATTCTTCTGGTTAGAATCCTGAAGCCCTTTGTGACTGTTGGTTTAGAATCAAGGTTTTCCAACTTCTCTAGGTAGTTAGTTCCTTTATACTCACCAACCCGGTTGAATCCTCGACTGGACACTCGCTTTTTGTGCTCTCAATTTCGTAAACAACATCACCATCACGAGAAGTCAGTCAGCAGGATTTCCTTGATAGTGGCTACATGCTCGTGGCCATGTAAGAACATTCAGAGAGGGAAAGAAGACTGTTCACTTTTGCTGTACTAAAACATTTCAAGGCCAGATTTTTCCCTTTTTTGATCGATCGGATGAAGTTTTACTATTTTTTTTTACGGATAACAGAGTTCTATCAGAGAAATAAATAAAAAAAGTTACATTCGTCTTCACAAACCTAGTTATTTTGTTTTATATCATAAGCGCATTAATTTACCCTGATGATATTGAAGTCTCTTCAACTACAGAGTCCTCACCCAAATCCACATTACTTACTTACTTACGCCTGTCACACCCCCCAATGGAACATAGGCCGCCGACCTGTATTTTCCAACCTACTCTGTCCTGGGCTTCCCTTTCCAGTTCCACCGAATTACTGTTCATTCTTCTCACGTCTGTCTCCACTTCTCGGCGTAATGTTTTCTGGGCCTTCCTCTTTTCCTTTGACCTTGAGGATTCCATGTGAGGGCTTGTCTTGTGATGCAGTTGGGTGCTTTTCTCACTGTGTGTCCTATCCACTTTCAACACCTTTCCTAATTTCCTCCTCCACTGGAATCTAGTTTGTTCTCTCCCATAGCAGGTTGTCGCTGATCGTGTCTGACCAATGGATTCGAAGTATTGTACGTCGTAGACAACTGTTCATAAACACTTGTATCTTCTGGATGATCCACATTACTGTTATGATACATTAGTTGAGTATCTATTTTTTTTCTTAAATTATTAATATTATTATTATTATTATTTAATTTGTTATTTTTTGTCTCATTCATCTTATTTTTCATTCCCCATATCAAAAAAAAAAAAATTTAGGTAAACAAACTTATGAAGAAGCAGCTATTTATATTCAAGCATCATTTGAAGCGAAAAATCGTTCACCTAACAAAGAGATCTATTGTCATCAAACATGTGCCACTGATACAAATAATATACAATTTGTATTCGATGCTGTGACTGATGTGATTATAGCAAATAATTTGAAAGGATGTGGTTTGTATTAATTCATTTTATTGATTGATTGATTGATTAATTGACTGATTGATTTGTTTGTGGATGTTTGTTTGCTGTGGTGTCTTCTTCTTCGTCTACTTCGTCTTCTTCTTCTGTTTTAGTTTTTTTTTGTTGAATTGTGTATGTTTTTGTCTCTTTTTTCTTTCATGCAATTTCATTGTGTTTTGATTCAACCAATCAGACGTGCATATTCATACATACATACAGCCAATCCAATCCAATTCATTCATTCATTCAGTTGAATACATATCTACACTGTGTTTTTTCTCTTTTCAATTGCTGCTTAAGTGTCATGTTATCCACATACACACTACTACTGATACATAAACAAGGAGCGCGAGAGCTGAGTGTCCGCAACGCGGAAAAACATTTCCACAAATAACACATTATATGATAATAATAATAATAATAATAATAATAATAATAGTACAAAAATGTACTTCACATTCATTGTTTGTTTTATTGTGAAATGCCTTTTTCTCTTGTCTATCTATCTGTCTGTCTGTCTCTCTCTCCCTCTCTCTCTATGCTCTTTGTGTGTCGTTGTTATCATTACCTTTCTTCTCTCATTTTTGTAATTGGCCAAAGCAAAAATATGGTGTGATGTTGTTGCATTATAATCGAATGCTTGTGTTTGTTTGCGTTTCTCATTTCAACGTTAATCATCATCGCCATCATCATCATCATCGCTATCGCCATCATCGTCATCTTCATCATGATGATCATCATAATAATCACTGATCTCTACTCGCTGAAAGATTTCATTGGATTGAAATCATCCGAAACTTCTCTAAAGATCATATATTGATGGAATGATAATGATTACTTACTAATTGTCGTCATGAAATCAGAAATTCTCCTCACACACACACACACACAACTATGCTATTTCCCCATCTCTTCTCTCTAACTCTGTTTCTTTTTGTATGTAACTTTTTTTTGTCTTCAAAAAAAAAACACTGTACTATTCTAAATAGAAAAGTGAAACAAGTGGGGTTAATTGTTTGTTGTGTGTTTGTTACTCTGCCATCATCATCAAGCCAGCCAGCCAGCCATCAGTCACATAACAATAATGTACTGCTCACATCAAGTCTACAAATGAATCATACATAATATTTAGTGTATTGTGTGTGTTTTGTTTCTTGTATGTTTGTTTGTTTATATCGAATGTGTGTGTGTGCTGTGTGTGTGTCGGTGTTTTTCTATTCTATTTTTGGTTTTTTCTTTTGTAACGCTTTATTATGCTTCTTTGTGTGATACAGCCAATGTATTTTGAAACAAACAAACAAACAGAACAATTGAAACATTCACTGTTGTTTGAATGAAACAATCACAAGCTATTTATTGTCTTCTACACATGTTTACCATTCTTCACACACTCTCTGTGTGTGTGTGTGTTTGATCGGATTCACTGTGGGGACGGACAAAGGAAAACAACAACAGCACACACGCACTCACACACACTTTTTTGTTTATTCTAATCGGCGTAATTTCTTCATCATTTTGTTGCTTTTACAAACAAACAAACAAAACAACTACTACTAATGATTACTTATATATTTATTGAATTTTGATAATTCATTCATTCATTCAAACAAACAAACAAGAAGAAAAAAAGTTTTTTTTTAATTGAACACCTTGAAGTTAAAATAAACTTTCTTAATGTGTATGGATTATACCGTACAAATAAATGATTTAGGGAAATAAATCAGTTTTTGTTCTATTGCGCATTGGTTTTTTCCTCTTGCCCTCTTTTTCTACTAACTACACATATACGTCTCTGTGTGTACACGTGTGTGTGTGTGCGTGTGTATCTAGCGTTTTTCCATTGTTGCATAATCTCATATTATTTGTTTTCTGCCTATCTGATCTCTCTGATTGCTCTCTCTCATTTTTTATTTCATGATTTTGCTGAGTTAACTTTGTTAAACTATTGTTATCATTATTATTATTATTATTATTATTATCAGTAAAACAACTGGTGGTCCACCATGACAAGTCAATAATATACATTGTCAATTCGAAAATACGCTTTTTTTTCCTGCTGCATATACAATAATTTGATTAGTGCATTGTCGTGACATGTGCAAGCAAATATGAATGTGTTGATATATAAAGTTGATAGACGCATACGCATACACATGCACACACACACACACACATATATATATAGATATATATTGACCAATGATTGTTCAATTTCTCTACACATGCAACTAACTTTTCAGTTTGTTTGTTTGTTTTTTTAATTTGCATAACGCTTACATTATTAATAATAATAATGATAATAATAATAATAATAATTAACAAAATCTATTGTATTCAAAATTCAAAGTTTTGTCTTTATTAATAAACACATCACCAATTGGGAATTATCTATGTATTTTATTCAATTTTATATTGTGTGTGTGTGCTTGTGTGCTTTAACTGAATTGTCGTCTTGATTCTTGAACGATGTGTGTTTGATCGATTCAAATACAAAACTGGTAAAACAGGTGTGCTAATGCAAATCGCATATATATATATATATACGCTACTAATACGACTAGTTAGCTTCGTTGAATAGTTAGTTTTCTTCCTAGCAATATTATTACCGCTTTCATCAATTACTACTCAAAAACGTATCACGTCTCTTTCCAGAGGGCGGGGGGTGGTGGCGCGTTTTCCAGTTTGTGCTGTCTCCTTTTCTTTGTATGTGTGTATGTGCTTGTCGACATAGCTTTTTCATACAATTCAACTTATGTACAACCGAATTGAATCATTTGGTTCTGTGTACATGTGAGAGCAATAAGCTAGGTGACGACGAACTCTCTCTCTCTCTCTGTCTCTTTCTCGACAGGAAGAGATACTTTTATTGAATTGAGTAGTAGTGGTCCTGCTGCTTGATGTTTTGTTAAATATCTTTTAATCGTTTAACATTTTTTTGTTCTGTTCTATTCTATTTTTCTCATCTTTCATTTCACGTATAATTTGTGCAGTGTGTTCATCATCTCTTGACTCGGCTTCAGTCTCTCATTGAAATTTCGTTTTGTTTAACTAAACAATATACTGTTTGCCTTTGCGATAAGACAGTGAGTAAGTAATAAATAGTAAATAATGACTACTACTAATAATAATGATTAAAATAATAACAATATCAAATAAGATGTGTTCTTCGTTTTCAAATATATCTATTGGTTGTTAGGTTGCATGTTAGCAATGTATGCACGTATATGTACAACTACCTACACTTATTATTATTCATGAATTGGGGTTTTATTACTTTAGTAATTGTTATCGGAACGTTAAAAATTTGTTATAAACTGAACGATCAAGTATTCCATTTGTAACCTGTATTTATTTATGCTAAAGATGAGTATTATGCAGGCACAGCTAGCGGATTTCATTTATTGAACAGTTTTAAACTGTGAACTTAAAAATTGTTTGATAAGTTGTAGCTTGAAAGCTATCCCTGGTCACGTAATATGAAATATCGCTTCTTTGGAGGATCAGATTTATTTTTGGTACGGAACCAATAAACTCCTAGCTTGTTTACTGTTGAGGAAATTGCAAAACAAGATCTTGTACCTGGAGAAATGTAAGAGCTCAGCTAAGCTTTTCCTAACTCTTATAGAAGTGGATCATTCGGGATTCTCCACTAAGGGCTGTCACTTTCACTTCATATCCGACGGTTTCACATAATTCAGTTTGTGCTTAGTTTGGTACTTGAAAGTAGATTTTGCTTACCAGTAGAAGGCAAAAGAAGTCTCACTTTCCCTATAATTAGGTTGATTTTATTACCTGATGAGAAATACGACAGTACTGATTAACATCTGACAGAATCGGAACTCATTCATACCATCAAAAAGTTCATTGCTGATAGTCGGTTTAAGATCGGATCACTCATCATAGCATTGGAGGTCCGCATCTAGCTACTACTCTTGCACGTAACACTTGTTGTTGTTTAAATTAATAACTTCACGTACTGAGTTGATTTTAAAATAATTCCCTACTATAAACGGTTACAAATTTATGAAAAAGCATCTCATTTATTCCGTCATAGGCTGTGAACTCTCAAAGTTTGCAAATCTCGTATTGAAAATATTACATCTTAGTTGCTGAGTACTTTTCACGCTTCAGTTGATTTGTAATACTACCTGACCACCGTGGAGATACGATCAGCAAGGACTTATCCCGGTTTCAAACGAAGCAAGCACGTGCCTACGAAACTCGAGGGTCGTAATTATGGCTCGCGAGTAATTGGTTCTTTGATAATGTCGAATGATAGCAGTCAGCATACGATTGTTTCTTATTTGACTTTGATAAGCAATATCTTTAAAATTCTCTGTAGTAAGTAGAGTTACTTTCAATTTCTTAAGATGGTTAGTCCATTGTGACAAACAGGAAGCCGATTTCACAATCGAAAATTCCCAGATATATATATATATATATATATATATATATATATAGGGTCTTGTAGAGCTCTTTGGGATTCTAACAAAGCTGAATGTCAATAATTAAACGTTAACCTTTAGTTTTAGTCTATCGAAATCATGCACAAGTTATTTCAAACTCTCACACCTAACTAGCCTTGTGGAATGAAATTCGAGATAACAATAACAGAGACATAGTCATGAATTTGTATTCTAACATCTAAAGCTGCAATGATTATAAATAATGGAATGCTTATGCAGCGATTCGATTTCTTGTGTTTATCGCTTTGCGCTGGTGGAAAACTACTGAACGGCTTCTGGACCTAGATATTTGAGAAGTTTGAAAATGACTGCTTTTCTTGTTGGAACTTAATTACAACTCATTTAGTAGCTGAATCAAAAACTAGCATGACGCTGCGGCCGGTTGTGAGCAGTCCTGCGGTAGCGATGCCAATTGAACAGTTACCTTACAACCTCAGCTCCTAAGCATCAAGGTTCACATGTGTACAGTACGACTATGTATGGTATATACATGTGCAGATCGAGAAGCATCAAGATAGTTTTCATTATGACGAGTTGACTAATACTTTACATTTGAACATGTCGACTTATTTCGCTTTATCGGATTCGCTCAAAGCTGTAACTTCTGCAGTCTACACGATTTACGTCTGTGGTTTCAGACTTACAAACTATGTAACATTCCTAAGTGCCTAAATAAATCTTGATGTCTGTTCTACTCTGAGTACAGATGGTTTGGTTCTACTTATTTCACCGCACACCTCAAAAACCGGATACATTTTGATGTACTTTACTACTTATTAGCTCCCATATACTATAGAAGGGATCACAGCACTGCATAAGTTTATGGGGTTAGTTGCTTCGATCACTAGACATCTATTTAACGTCTTGCTACCTAAAAAATTCCTGATCTCTGTAAAATTACATACGCAACATAGTAATACCTGTACCCTACTCGTTGTACTTTTATATCATGGGTGTTTCACTCTTTTAGTGTTATTATGACAAAGCTTGATAATGGCTAACAGAACTCCCAAAGCCTTAGATTTACTCCTTTCCATTTCAAAATCATGATTGCTTATGTGGAATGATAAAATGACGAAAGTCACCGATGGTTAGAGACCTTGAATGACATGGCTCAGTATCGTTTGCAATGGCGCAGGTGCATCCACTCTGTGTTCTCTCTAACTCTAACCTTCTGAATACCTCATAATCTCTGTCTTTCTCCTTCTAAATTCATCTCACTGAATCATACTTATCGAATCATATCCTCGCTCCTTAATCTTCTCCATTACTGCTAATACTTCTATTATTGCTATCACTCTTGGATTTGAACTGACGTTTGCGTCTCTGTGCTGATGTAGTATGGCAACTTGAACCGACGTACGAAGTTCTGCGTCGTATCTGTCCTTCTATTATACACTCTACTGACTGTTCCACCAAAAAAGCTGTAAAAGAGATCGGACGTCTTATTTCTAGAAG